AGGTGAATTCAGGTACAAAGTTTTAATGATTAGAAAAAAATATATATGGAGTGGTTATAAAAATGAGGTTTATATTTCGCACAAAAGTCCCACCAAAAGTTATGTATTTTCATGGATAACGTGATTTGTTAATTAAAATTTTAAGTTTGGGACTTCTTTTTATCCACCAGATATTTTCAAAAGAGTGGCTAGAGCATCAAAAAGGAAAAAAAATTAAAAGTGGCAATTAAAAAAATCAGACCCCTAGGTATGTACATAGTAAATAAATTAAAGTTTAAAATAAAGGTCAACTTTTTTAGAGCAAGACAGGTTTGGTAGCTTTTCTGTGATGCTGATTAAAAATAACACAGAAAAATGTTAGAAAGCCCTGCTTGATGAGGCTAATTATATTTAATTAGACTTGAATGTTATGATAATAAATGTATTGTTTTTTAAGCAACTGATAAGAAAAAAAGGGGTGATGGAAATCATTTCATGTGCTTGTAAACCTTAAGTAACTAGCATAGGCCTTTGAGTGTTAGAAACCTATATACATAGTTTTAGGGAAAAAAATCAGTGGTTACATGTCATCTCTATTAATTCACAGTTGTGTTCAATTGGAGGCACATTTACACACAATGTGTGGTTCCGGTTGCGATCCAGGGGATACAAAGGACAATTCAAAGGTGTACAATTCAATTTGTATGGAAAAGTGTATTGCACAGAAGTGCGAACATTGTTTCAAACAGTGTGTGTAAATGATCCTTATGGTGATTATTAATATTAAGAACTAATAACCATCATTATTAGAATTAGTGTATTGTAAATTTTGAGTCTGCTGAAAAGTGCAATTAGGGGAAGTTGTACTATAACTGATTGAATGCACATATTACTATTTAGACAGATAATAATATTGTCTATATATTTTTAGATTACTTAGTCCCTTATTTATATCACTTTATTAATTTATTTTATTATTTATTTATTTATATTTATTATTATTATTATTATTTTTTTTTATCCCATACCAGTTGGGTTCCTGTGACCTTTTAGTATGGGATCCATGGCACTGAGGGAATTTGGAAAGTCACCATTATGACTTTGAATTTCGGGTGCGATTCCATTTATATATATATATATCCGAGTTATTTGAAGGAAGGTATACATGCAAATTCACAAAGCTTATGAGTAACATGCATCCAATGATGAATCTGGACTTTACTTTTACAGTGGAGTGGAGGGGGAGGGAGGTGGGGGGGGGGGGGNGATGGGCAGTTTTATTCTCCATGATATGTAGTTGCACAGGGTTTGAAAAAGAGTGCTTTGTTTTGTTTTGTTTCGCTCATTATACCAATTGATTTATTTAATAACTGATTTATTTGATTTTTTAAATAATTTTTTGGGGGTGGGGCACATGCTGATTCTGCCATTCTGTGTGATTATATGTTAAAAGATAATACATAAGGATATACATATGTTCATGCACTTCTGTACTCTAATGCATTATGATGTAATGATAATAGTGTATGTATTTATGACTATATTGTGTGTGCTTTCATTACCACTTAACTCGGCTAACTTAAGGTTACAATTGTGGATGTAAAGAAAATCAAAATGTAAGATCGCAGGTTCTTGAGTTTTTTGCTTTATTGGGGTAATGCTTGCATGTTCGTTTTTGCATTACTGTCTGCAAGTCAAATAATCTGGTAGAAGAAAATGAGAAAACATGATATTGCAGAAAAAAAGGGAAAAAAAAAACAATTAAGTTGACTTGGTTGGAAAGTTTGTTTTGATTCAACTGAGAAAAAAGATGCAGCACTGTATTTTAAGCAATTAATGCCTGCTGGTGCTTTTATTATAGTATTACTATAATGTATGGAATGTACACAGAACCGGTGTTAGCATTTTAACAAGTTTTTCTGTCGCCCCCAAAAAGGAAAAAAAAAAAATAGAAATAATTCTAGACACATATTAGTCAGGCTGTTATCTTCTAATTGTTTTGTAATCAGCGGAGAGAATTTGCGAGTTATTTTAATATTTAATTCAAGAAGATTTTGTGGGTGTTTGATTAGTCTTAGATTCGCAGAGACCAAAATATTTGTACATTTAAGAAATGGAGACAGAAAGCTAATTGAACAGGTGTCAAAATGTGATGTGATTCTAAACCCCTCCATATAAAAAAAGAATAAATTAATTTTACATAATTTTACTGTGTTGTGTTCAAGTAATCAAATAAATATTATTTGATACTTACATACATTGTTATATTTATTTTCAACCCCTTTATATGATCAGCTGGTTAACTTATTTGAATGATTCTTTAGAAATGAAAAGTTTGAGATCATCTGCTTGATTGCGATTGGCAGAAAGTTCCTTTTCATTCGTTTATTGTTTACAGTGCATGTTAGACATTTTGTGAAGAAAAAGATTAATATTCCCAGAAATTCCAACTATTTTCCTTTAATATGGCATCCAAAAGTGGAGGAAATTCAAAACTGAAAACCTGCTTTCAAGTTAGAAATATCGAATTTCTTTCTGTTACCAATGAAACTCACCATAGTCCATCTGCATTATAGGAGTGTTGTTTAAAAAACAAAAATCTAAAAATAAAAAAGGAGTGTTAAATAGTAATTTTGTCAATAAATAAATAAATAAATAGATAAAAATAATATTAAAAAAAGTTTTCATTGTTGAGGTCAGTTTCACATCCCAGCACATTGTGACAGGAGAGACGTCACACCTATCACAATCTAGAGACAACTTCCACAGCTGGATTTTTGCATGAAACAATATATATTTATCATAACAGTGCAATGCGCCTATAATTATATAAAAAAAGTAAAAAAAGCAGAAACTGCTCAACAGAGGATATTTTCATTGCAGTTGATCCTTTTGGGGCTTAATTGATTTTATTTGTATCAGATGATGCTTCAAGTTTAGAAGCTAAGAGTACTGAACCTAAGAACGTTGTTCTGAATTATTACTATAACTGATGACTATTTACTTCTGCAGTTGTAAATCACTCTATGTTGTTATAATTAATTAAGCTGTAAACTAAAAACCATTTAAAAAATACTTTTTAGAGCACAGTTGGGATTTGGCTTTGTCTTTTTGTAAAGGATTTCTATATTATGTATAGTAGGCAAATTTATTAACCAACCGTCCACTTTTAAGTTAACTTCTATCAGTTTATGAATTTTTGGCACTTAAAGTCAAAATGCTATAAGACTTCAATGTCTGTTTGAAAAAAAAAAAATGCATAAAATCACAAACTAACAATGCAAAGGACTTTGTCACAATAATATTTATTTTGAGCACTAAAAATAAGATCACAAAGCTGGTTTGGAAAATGATATAATTGAAATACAGGGGTTGAGGCTAAGACACTGTGGAAAGAAAGCAAAACACCATGAGGTAATTTTGTCATACAGACTTGGTGTAATGAGGAAAAGAGGCGGTGCTTACAACATGTCAAAAAACATAAGGTGTCACAAAAGGGGTGTGCCATCACCAAATTTGGCAAAAAGAGGGTGTGGCTTCAAGTAATAATTTGATTGGCATATCATTCAGATCATTTCACTGGTATCATGAGAAAAAGGTGTTTGCAGCATGTCAAATGAGACATGATATGTCATAAAAGGGGCGTGGCAACATCAAAAATGGCAAAAAAAGAGGGTGTGGCTTAAAGTCAGGTAATTTGATTGGCATCCCTGGCACTTATCAATGCATAGTTGTCACTGAGACAAAAAATCACTGCATAGGTTCAATCACAAATAGCCATTTGATATACTTTTGACACCACAAGTACATAAATAGCTTTGTCATTCACCTTATACGTATCTTGAGCAAAAAGGAAAAGAGGCAATTGGCAGAATAATGAGCAAATGTATATATCACTAGTATTTCTTTTACTATTTTAACTTTAAAGAAAATAGACCCTGATTAGCTAAAAGAAGACATGTGCTTTGTATTATCAAAGTGTTGGTAATATATCCAGTATTGCATTGTTAAGATTTTCTTCTTCACTAAACAAGACCTTAAACCTATGCACAGCATTTCATCCCTCAGTTAGTGCTCTCTTTACTCTTTTTACTCTCATAATGATTTCAACTTAAACTACCCACCTAATACTGAAATTGAGTTCAAAATAATCAGAGCTACATACTGCAACTTAAACTAGTAGAGAGTCAACTAACATTTTAATCTAATAATGTGACAACTTGTACTGTAACACTACAAAAGTCATACAAAAAATACTTGAGCAAATTGCATACAGAAGAACGTCTCAAAAATACTGAGCAAATTAATACAGTGGAATGCACACACGGGGACTCATGCACGCACACACACTCTTGAGTGAATGACAAAGCAGGTGAAAATGCGTGCATAAACAAGACGTAGATTGCACATCCGAAGGGACATTGTTTTAAATGAATGTACATATCAATATTGTATTATATTATGCTTTTCACAGCTGTTTTTCCTTTGCAGTATTATCATATTATGCAGCAACTGTAACCGCGAACATGTAACCATTTTCAAACTATCATATCTCAGTCATTTTCCCCTCAAAATTCTGCTGAACAGTAAGTTAACTATTAACTGAAATTCAGCCTGAGTTTTTTTTTTTTTTTAACAGCTGAGATATACTTCCAATTATTGACTTCAAACAGCACTGACAAAAACATGACATATATCTTCCACAATTTCCAAATAATACAATGGACATATTCAAAGTCCATGACAACAAAATTCTGCATTTGCAGTGAAACCCAAATTTTCAAAATTTTCACAAAGGTAATCTGGATTTTCTTCATCACATGATCACAGTTCAAACAAGATGAGCAAGTCTCTTGAGAAAAATGAATAAATGCTGTTTTAATCAAAGACCATCATTCTTGACTCAATATGTACGTATTTTGCTATTTTTAACAAAAAAAAAAAAAAAAAAAAAAAAGCAATAGTCTTCCATTAAGACAGCATTTTTTCATTTTATCTATTTTTTTAATTAAGTCAATATTTTAGACCAGTTTCTTTTCTCTGATCTTTCGAGGAATTGGTAAAGACAGCTCACAAACTCTCGGAGTGGCATGTGCCTTTTTGGCCCCATTGGAGACTTTATAAGGATCGTAATCATCAACAATCCTCGTGCGACTCTTCGGCCGTGCCAACTGCTGCACGCGTGCAGATGCCGAGGCTTTCAAAGTGTCTTGTAAAACGGGCCACTGAACAGGCTTTTCGCCAACGAACTTCGGGTGGGGGTTTTTAGCCTCAGCCAAAACCTCCAATCGTGGTGTAGCATTTGCCTTCATGGCGGCCGCAGAAACTCGGCTTGGCCAAATGACTTTTGTCCAATCAAATCCTTCGTATTCTATAGTGTTCACATTTTTGTATGGTTTTGGCTGGGCAAGCTGTTCTAATCTGTCTGTTGGTTCTCGTTTCTTGGCTGGTTCTGGAACCACAGTATACGGAGAGCGATCGAAGGAGTAATTTGGATTCACTTTGCGATCCATGGCTAAGACCTCTATGCGTTCTGATGCTTCTGCCTTTTGTGCCCCTTTGCTGACTTGCCAAATGGGTGTTGGTCTAAAATTAAAAAAAAAAAAACAATGACATTAAAATCTGTAATGTTAACTCTTTGCAAATAATCTCCACTAAATTTTTTTTTTTTTTTGCATATTTAAGTTTTGTGATAGTTTATCCTTAACCTACTACTTTAAATTTAAAAACAAATGAAATATAACGCTATGACGCTACAAAGAGCCAACTCTCATGCATTTTTTCAGTCAAGCAGTACAATAAAAAATACTATCATGTCAATATCCATTCTGTTCAGGTTTTCATCCTCTTGAGCATTTCCTCAATTTTAACAAATGAAATGCTGCAACTGACTCCATCTTCCAATTCCTCTGTCACAAATAACAGTGTATTCCTCACAATTCCCCTGTCACATCTAACACAATTTATATAGCAATGGCCTCTCACCTGTCTCCCTTCCATCCAGGGTTCACATTCCTGTGTAGGACTAGCTGCATTTGTCGTGGAGTCAAAACTGAAAATAGGAGGTTGTAAGGAAATTAAACCCAAATCAAAATATTCCTATATGCTGTAAGAAAATTGTCCACTGTTGACTCATACAGAAAACTTTATATGAAATTCAAAGGAGAACAGTTGTAAAAAATTATTATAAAACAAACATGCAAAGGAAACCCTTTAAAAAAATCTAGTATATTCAAAGGGTGAGTCTCTTCAAAATGAGAAATTTAAATCAATTCAAATGTTGCTAACAAAAGTAATTTTCAATTAAAATCATAACACTTCTATTATAATCATTATTATTATTATATAATTATTATTGCTGTTATTATTTTTGGTTTAAGCAGATTTAACCTGAAGATAAAAAGACTTACCACAAACTGTGGTCCCATTAGGTCCTGGACCAGGTGGCCATCTGTCTATCCAATATACAGAACGCCTGGAAATACAAATTAAAACAAATATACATATGTCTAAAGCAATTACTAGTAAGAGGTTATTAGGCATCCTGTCACGGCCATCCCACAGACTGTAGGTTTTGGCACATTACTAGTACCCAACTTACTTTCTTAGTTTTTTTTT